TTTTTTTTTTTTTTGATAGAGACAGGGTCTGAGTCTGGCTCACTCCGGCTCATGCTGGTCTTCTCTGCTGGTCTCGAACTCAGCTGAGCTTTGGCGATCCACCTGCCTGGGCCTCCAGCAGTAGCTGGGACAACAGGCGTGAACATCCACTATTTTTGTTGTTGTTGCAGTTGTTTAGCTGGCCCAGGCTGGGTTCTAACCGGCCACCCTCAGTGAATGTGGCTGGCGCCGAGCCTTTTTTTTTTTTTTTTTTTAGCTTTTTGGCTGGGGCTGGGTTTGAACCCGCCACCTCCAGCATATGGGGCCGGCGCCCTACGCCTGAGTCACAGGTGCCGCTCTGGCGCCGAGCCTTTTTTAGGGAGTCAAGCGTCCAGGTGTGCGGTAAGAAGAGAAGAACCACCAAATCGCGGCGTCCACGCAGAACCATAGGGAGGGGCTGGCGAGCGGCGCAGGGCCGAGGCCTTCCCTCCGGGACTACCACCATCCCGCCTCCCTGATCGCTGCCCCAGACTCACAGAGTCTTGGGCATCTCGTTCTCCAAGGCTGCTGCTGTCGTGGTGGCGCCTCCGGATCAAGTTCCCTGATCTTCATTAGGTCCCCAAACGTTTGAACCTCTAAAGGCTGCAGAATAGCTGGATTTCTCGGCTGACCAGAGGCTACTCCGCTTCCTCCTTTACCAGCAATTACATTAAACTTCTGCGCTCGGCGAAAACAATTGAGCCCCCAAGTCAAGTGCGGGGGAGAAGCCTGCGAAGCGATGCGGGACGCGCTGGATAACCTTACACGCTCAACCCCGCGGTCGCGGACTACATCTTAACCTATAGATTCCCTTGCTGCGCAGCCGCTCTTCCACCCGACCCGAGGGATGTCTCAGACTGCGCAGGCGCAAAGATCAGGCGTCGTGTAAACGTTTTTTCAAGTTGTACATTCGAATGTTTCAACAGTGAATGACAATAAAATAGCAACATGCAAGAAGATTAAGAATCCTAAATATTTCCATAGGACCATGGTTTTATCAGGATTCTTCAAACTGTTTCGTTTTTAGAGAGGTAAAAGACACCTGCGCCGCCCGGGAATCGAACCCGGGTCGCAAGAATGGGAATCTTGCATGATACCACTACACCAGCGGCGCTGATGGTGCACCTTAATGACTGAATATCTCAGGAGTAAAGAAAAGCAAGCAACCACTTGTTTTCATGTGAAGGGAATTTTCATATATTATTTATTTAAAAATGAAAGTTTATTGACGATGTATACTCTGTTTTTCGTTGATGTAGGAAACAATTATCTTCTCTCATCCCAAAACAGTTGAATGGACGTTTCTGCTTTTTCTGTACAAAAAAATCTTAATTAAAAATTTTTTACTTAGAAAAGTCAGAATTTCATTAAGAAAAATTAGCCTGGGTGCTAACGAAATGCTTGAGAGAGAGAGAAAAATGTACCCAGATACCGGATTTTTCTTTATATTTTCATTTCTTTGAGACATTCAACATACAATGAAAATTATTTAAGAAAATGTTATTTAAATTGGTCACTAGAATCTTAAAAGTAAATGACTCAGAAAACTGAGTCCTTTTTTAGGAGGCAGAGAAATTAGGGCCCGGAAATGTGCTTCACTGTACATAGTATGCATTTCATAATGCTTTTTATGAGTTATAGAAGTATAACTCATACTCTCCTATATATATACATAGGACAATTTATACATCAAAACATGTGCTGTCCTCTTCAAAATAGTTTCTTTAGACTGATAAAATCTGGATTTTCAATTTTGGAATTGTCTTTAGAATCTGTAGAAAATTCTTCAGATTGTATTTAAAAATATCAAATATTAGTCTTTTGAGGATGAATAGTGGATAGTATTTTTAAAACATTTTTTTGAGACACTCGTTTAAAATGATTTTCAGTTTAGTGTTTTTTTTCCCTTCATTTATTTAGGTGTGCAAGAAGCACCACAGATAATTTTGGAACATTTTCATCACCTCAAAAATGAAACTCTTACCAATCAGAAGTCACTCCCTGTTCCCCCTGCCACCCCACTTCCCAGCCTATTCTGGGCATTTCACATGAATAGAATATAGTCTCCTGTGACTGGTTTCTTTCACTTAGAATTATGTTTTCAAGGTACATCTGTGCTGTACCATATATCAGTCATTCATTCCTTTTCTTTTTTTCTTTTTTCTTTTTTTCTGAGACAGAGCCTCAAGCTATTGCCCTGGGTAGAGTGCTGTGCTGTCATAGCTCACAGCAACCTCCAACTCCTAAGCTTAGGCGATTCTCTTGCCTCAGCCTCCAGAGTAGCTGGGACTGCAGGTGCCCACCACAACGCCCGGCTATGTTTTGGGTGTAGTTGTCATTGTTTGGCAGGCCCAGGCCAGATTCGATGGCGCCTTAGCCATTTGAGCTTAGGCACCACCCCATTCCTTTTATTTCTGAATAAAATTCCATTATGTGGATATTTCACAAGTTTATTTTTTAGTATGGTAGTTTTTTTTTAATTACAAAAGTAATACACATAAATGCTCACTGTTACAAGTGAAACTATAGATGTATAAGGAAAATAATTCTTTTAGCCGGGCGTTGTGGCTGGTGCCTGTAGTCCCAGCTACTTGGGAGGCTGAGGCAAGAGGATTGCTTGAGTCCAAGGATTTGAGGTTGCTGTGACACCATGGCACTCTACTAAAGGTGACATAGTGAGACTCTGTATCAAAGAAAAAAAATTCCTTCATTCTCTTCCTCTCGAAGTAACTAATATTAACAGATTATTCTGTAAACTTCCACATTTTGCTTAAATGCATACAGATGGCCATGTATATAGGTATTTGAGATTTTTAGTTATTTCCAAAAAATGAGAATATGCTATAGCTGTTACTTGACAACTTGCTTTTTTTAACTTAAACTTATACCTCCCATCTGGAAAGAAGAAGAGACTAGAGGAAAAAAACCAAACTTATACTTTAGATATTTTGCAGTTCAACAATGGAGATATAATTAATAGTTTTTAGTAGCTATGAAATGGTCCATAGAATTAATGTTTCATGATTTATTCAATGGTAAATTGAATAAACTACCATAAATATTATTGATGGGTATTGAGGTTACTACACTGCCCTCCTTGCTCTATAAACAGTGTTGCAATAATGTCCTACTAATATATTCCTGATGATTTTTTTTTAATTGCTGGGGATTCATTGAGGGCACAAGAAACCAGGTTACACTGATTGCATTTGTTAGGTAAAAACCTCTACTAATATATTCTTTTTTTTTTTGAAGCAGAGCCTCAAGCTGTCCCCCTGGATAGAGTGCTGTGACATCACAGCTCACAGCAACCTCCAATTCCTGGGCTCAAGCGAGTCTCCTGCCTCTGCCTCCCAAGTAGCTGGGACCACAGGCACCTGCCACAACACCCGGCTGTTTTTTGGTTGCAGCATCATTGTTATTTGGCAGGCCCGGGCTGGATTTGAACCCACCACCTTAGGTGTATGTGGCTGGCGCCTTAGCCACTTGAGCCACAGGCGCCGAGCCAATATATTCTTTTTTATATATATAAATAAAAGAGGGAATTTATTAGCAGAATACAAAGTTTCTTGCAGGTATTCCAACAGCTGTAATGGATCAATAATTAGAACCACACTTTTCAGAAGAATAAAGCATGGTGTAATCACAAACTTCTAATTCTGGGTTCTGTGTGAGAATAGTCTAGAGAGGACAGTCGTCTTTGTACACTGCATAAGGAACTAGAATGTGGATTCACTTTTGCTTGCTTTTTGATCCTTATAGTCTTTT